ACACTTATTTTGACAGAGTGGCACAACCATTTGTCACTGAGCAAAACCTGCAAAAGAACCTGGAATGATTTGTGGAACGTAGGTTGATTATATGTCCTTCAGAAGCCTTCTGAAGAAAGCAGAACGGCACCTCATTTATTGTTGTAAACAACAAAAAGCCTATTTTGCTAACTGCTGCTAACGTTGAAGAGGGCTTTTGCTCCAAGGCATGATTAGAAGTATACTCTATTTACTTGAGGTTACTGCTGGCAAAGGTTTTACCATCACCACTTAATTTTTTCCTGCAGTTATCTTGTTCATGTTTCTTCTTCTGACTTTTATAGGAGCATGGCCATAACATCTTGAGAAAACACTCTGGAAAATAAAGTTGAGTCTAGTATGTTTGGGCCTTGTAGAAACAGTGAATTCCCAACAGGATTTGAAATGGTCAATTAGTGCTGCTTGCAGGCAAACTAATCTACTATGAATTTCAGAAGTACAACATCCAAGGCATGACTTCAGAGTACTTAAAAGAAAAATGGCTTTGTCAATAGGAACTGTAGTATACTTAGAGATAAGGTGTAAAGTAGAATCCAAAGACATACTTTACAACGCTCTCCGCTTTTCCAAATAATTTAAGTATCAGTGGAGAGAACAATTCCTACCTCCCTAGCAACTTCTAATGTGAAACTCCTTTTCACGTGAGGGAAAGCATTACTGTATTAAATTGACTTTGTTCACTGACTTGCAATAGAAAAATTGTTGGGAGCATGGGGGAGGGAAAGTTGGTGAGAGTGAGATGGTTATTTTCCTCCCTAGTGTTTGCAGATGTTCATCTGCATTTAGAAACTTTAGGCTCATTTTTTGTATTTAGGCCAAATTAAAACTTTATACGTGAACTGTACTAGGAGGGTTAGTGAGTCTCAACCAAGTAAATAATCTTCCTTATGAAAAGAGCCTAAATTTAGTAGCTGGGTGAGATGTTCGTCAGTAAAGCCTAAAGCAGTTCCACTTAAAAGCAATTGTTTTTCTTTCTTGCCTGATGCAATCAGTAATTCTGAATAGGGCTGAACAGTAGCAGCAACTGCTTGTACGTGAGAACATTGTTTACTGGAGTGTATGTCTGGTATGAATTTCTCAGTGTCTTTCAGGAGACTTTGCATAGTTAGTGGTCCAAACTGTGTAGGTTTAGTAATAGTCCTAAATTTGTAGAAGTATATTTGTAAGACTGGTAAGTCAGTTATATTTAATGCAATGGATGGCTTAATTTAATTGCATTTAAAGTAGGATGAGTATTCCACTACTTGTAATTTTGAGGATGTCTTTACCATAGTTAAGATGGGATCCCCAAACTTTCTGGAGAAATAATTGGAAGGCGCTACAAGCTGGCTTTCAGGAAGGACTTTCAACTGCTTGGATGGCTTCTGCTGCCTGTGCTGCAGGCTCTATTTCTAAAGAAAGTTAACTAGAGATGCCATGGACACCTGCAGTTCATGGGTTACTGCTGTTTTTCCTAGCTGACTATATCAGGTCCCAAAAGATTCCAGTTACCAGTTGAGCCCAGATCTTCGAGGTGTTTAGGTGCAGAGATACATGCCCAGTCCTATTTACTTATTGAGGTCCTAGAACCTTTGGCTTGCACCGAAGTGAAAAGGATAATGATTGCCTCATCCCTAAAAAAAAGGAACCATATTTTAAGTAGTTTCCTGAAATGCAGACTTAGGTATCCAGATTCAGAGAGTTGCCTCTTAATTGTTGGCCTTGCAGTCTAAATAAGTAGAAGACCTAGCAGAACAAAAGCAAGGAGTTAGAAAAATGAAAAAGATACCAACAGGACTGTATGGTTTTGCTAGTTAATTACGTGCACATACCTGATTCTTAGTTGATGTTAATTACTTATGCTTTCAGATATTGCAGAAAGAGCAGGCCTTTCAGGGGTTTCATATTCACGGTGGCTTGACTGAATGGGATTAATGACGTTATTTTGGCAAAAACATTTTTATTGCCATTCTGTAAAGACCAAAAACTGTAAAACACAGAGTACCAAAAGTCACAGGTGAAACACTAGTTTTACTTGAAAAATGCTGAATGTGTATAATTGAAATTGAAAAGATCTCTCTGTAGGAAACTGCAGGTGTGACTTTTTTATGTAAACTTGTATTCTAATATTATGGACTCTCCGCAGGTCTGCTTTCTCATTTTCAAGCATAGCTTGAAAAAAATCTGGCATTACTCTCTTAAACCCTCCTAATCTTCTGTTTGATTAAACATGTCCCACTCTAGTTATGGCCCATCAGAGAAGCAAAAATAAAGCATATTTCATATGCTTGCTTCAGATGTTTCTCTAGCATTTTATATGTAAAAGTTTTTGGCTTGTGTTCATTTTAAAAGTAAAGACTATGAACAAATAAAACTGTGTCCCTGTAGCCTTTTAATAAGCACTGTTTTTGAAAAGCAGTTTTCTTGAAGAATGATATCTATCTAAAATATCACTCTGTTACAGTGTTTAATTAACAAAAAAAAGAGTAATTAGAATTAACTATTTACATATATTGCTAGTTATCTTTTGCTGGTTTTGCTTTGAAAATTTTAATTTCTTCCCTGGAAATGTTAGCATTTTTTACGATTTTGATACTACGTGTGAAGTCCTCAGTGCTGCTTTCCACCATATGATAGTTCATTAAAACGCTTGCTGATAATGGGTTGCTGTTTGCAAGTACAGGAATAGTAATTTTGCCAGTAACTTTGCCTACGGGCAGATGGAAGTTTTTGCATTCAGGCGAAATAGCCAAGCAGCATGCTGGCTTGCCTTAGTTGTTCTACAGCTGCTCAACGTTAAATGAAAGGCTGCCCCTCCTGAAGATGAGCCTGCATTTGAAGCATGTCTTTTTGTAACATTTTGTAATAGGTGAAGTTAGAAATCTTTGGATTTAGGACCCAAATCCTGTCTGGTTTTGTAGCACTGTATCTCCATTTCAGTGAAGCCAGCTAACACTAGCTGGAGAATTTGCGCTTTCTTTTTTGTTTTTTTTAAGACCTGTTTTACCGGGATTTGGATAAGCCAGAGCTGCTCTTGAGTGCATGATCCTATTTTATAGATTTTTAAGACAAAAAATTGAAGCTATTCTATCTTGGCTTCAGGAGCTGTGAGGCTGAATACTCCTTTTTGCCTGCATATGAGGTGCTAAGTATTAATTGTAATGAAAAGCATTATCTGTATTTGCATGTATTTTATCAGGTAGGAGGTATTGCAATAAAATTGACTTATTGATTGTGGAAGTGAATTTTGTGATTAAAAACTGTTTGTAATGACTAGAATAAAGATGATGATGAATAATGAAGCTTTAAAAATGGAAAGACTTTCTGTTGTAGTGCCTGTAGTTGAGTTCATTTAACTGTGAAAGTTAATTCTTTTGTTTCCAAAAAGTGTTCTCTACAAAATGTACCATGTGCTTGCTTTGAAGGCTTGTTTTTAGTTTCAAACACCCTTTCGTCCCTGGTCAAATTTGTTAGAGGTATATAAACAATCCTTGGTGTAATTTCGGTGGTATAAAGAAAATGAGACCACAAAAAATTTAATTTACATTTAACAGTAGTAGATTGGCCCAATTGTTTAGTTCTCTAATTCCCTTGCCAAATACTGTACTTACCCCTTTGAGGCCAATTTCTGTTACTACACAGTGAATCATATATGATCAGGCATGGTAGGAGTGAAAATTTTATGGTGATGTTAGAAGATGAAGGAAGTAGGAACCTGAGTTTGTAGCAGTAGGACATTCAACATGCAAATGTTTGCTGTATATCTTCCACCTTATGCAGTCTGTGGAAAGTATTATTTATGGAGAACATCTGGTTTCTTGCTTCTCTGCTTTATGGTACTTACCTACCCAGTGTACTAAGAAATGTCTGCTACTTAATACCTGTTTATTTCCTTCTTAAAATCTTGTCTGAACAGCTCTGCCAAGTGTGGAGTCTTTATCTCATGCTGATGTCCTGTTGATGACATCTTGTGCTCATAAGTCAGTCTTGAATAAAAGCTCTCAATGATTCCGTCTAAGTTAGCTCAGGGTCTATGGCTGTGCAAAGCTGGGGAGCAAGTTTAGTAAACGTACAAAGCTAAAAGCAGCCAATTTTTTGGTCAAGATTAATGGTAGCAATATTGTAAAAAATAGACCAATTAGAACTGTGACTTAGGTGTTTTGATAGAAAAAGGGTATATTCTTTTCCTGCCTTCTCCTCTGTTTTCAAGGAGTAAATTATTCCCTTCCTGCTACTTCTGTTACGGCATACAGCTTCCTTCCCTGGACACTCAGGCTCTGTAGATCTAGTTGAACCGTTTATTGCTGTTACATCATGAATCTCGGTCGTGCTTACTGAGAGAGTAGTTTGAAGATCAGCTCATTTTGTATCACTCTTATTTTTGCTCATTTTTCTTTTGGTAGTGAGCTGTAACAGATCACCAAAAGTCTGTGTGGGTACTAATGCCAACCCAAAAAAGGGACAGAAGCACACACACAAAGCCAGGAGAAACAGAAGTTAGAAGGGACAGTGAGCTCAGACTTCTCCTAGAAACCTGTGCTGATGATGGCCCTGGCTATAGTAGAAACATGATATAAATCTTGACAGCCATCAGCTTATCCTTGGCTGCATGATTCTCCCATTTTCCTTGCACTTGCATTTGTGTGATTGTTAATTGCTTGTGGAATAGACTAAGCTGAAAATTAGTAGTTACTTTTTTCTGTGATTTGGTTTTCAGGCAGATTTTTGCCCTGAATCAGTTCACATAGTCACAAATTACCAGTGACTGCAAAAGAAAGGAGGCAGGATTTATGGCAGCCCAACTGCCCTCTGACTTTCAAACAACAGCTAGAGTGATTAAATGATTTATTATTAAATAACAAAATGGTAATTTACAGACATGTATGTGTGTAGAATTAAGTAGAACATTCAACATGAGGCTGGATGTCATGTTGAATGCAATTTTCTGTAAATCATATCTTTTTCATACTTTTATTTTACAGTTGCTGCTAACTTACAGAAGATAGTAGATGATCCAAAGGCCTTGAAAACGTTGACTTTTAAGTTGGTAAGTAAAAACATGAACGGAAGAAACAAACTAATTATCACAGTATTCACACAGAGTCTGGATTTTCTCATTTACAGCTATTTTGCTGAATAAATGTGTTGACAGGTAAGATAATTGAAATTGCCATGTGTGAGAGAAAAAAACTAAACCCTATTTTGACAGGACATTAGGGATATGTACAGTTACACAGCTCCATAAGTGTGCAGGGAGAAGGAGGTTCATTCACTGAGTTCTGAGGAAGTTTGAGGTTTAGGTGAGAAACTGCAGGGAGAAAACCCCTGGAAAGAATTGCAGAAACAAGTAAAGCAGAGAAACCTGCAGTTGTTGGGTAACTCCCCTCCACCCCGACTCCCTCAGCTCTGCCCTGACTGAAGTGTCCTCTGCTAATGGACATTTTGTTCCAACCCATTTTTGCCAACACCTGCCACCATTTTTCTTGCATGCAGGTCGCCCTCTCCACTGCTTACTTCTCCTTAGTTCTTCTCAACCTTTTTTAAGTTGACCATCTACACTTGCAAGTTGATCTTGCTCCCACTGTATTTCATTACTGTGTCTCCCTCCCCACCTCTTTCTGTCTTCTGTATACGCAGAAGACCCTGGTTTGGGCCTGGCACTGTTTTCTGTGCTGCATTTTGTGCCCTGGACCATGGGTCCTAATTTTGGTCGATTTTGATGCTATCATGATAGATCTAATTAATATTAATAACTTTACATTGAAAAAACTTAATTCAGAATTGATGTGCTGTATTTGTTTTTATTTCTTGCTAAAATTAAGTTGAAAAATTTACATACCCAAAACTACTGAATGATTAGCTATGTAAATACCAAACTCTTACCAATTGTCTTTCAGCACCCCTTGCTGAGAGTGACTCAGCTGCGTATGAAAGACTAGACTGAATGTCTGTTAGATAAGTAGGTCTCCAGAATCACAGCTTTAGAGAGCCATTTTTAGAGAGTAGCTAATGATAATGTATTAATTCAGGATTGTTCTTCCATGTCACTTTTTAAAAATAGATTTGAGTAGTTTTAACTGACCAAATCATTTGGACTAATTTTTCCTCTACAGTCCAGTAAAATCACCAGAACTTACATGTTCATTTTGAGAAGGACTTGGGGTGGGGGAATAAGGACATGTAACTCAAATTGTTTTGCTTCTGTGGCCCTTACTATCTAAATATAGCTTAAAGGCTGATGCTTCTCTTTTTGCAGCTGATCTGTGTTCTTGCTGTCTAAACAGCTGACTTAGCTTTATTGTGTAGTCAATGGCATCTCACCAAGAGCATTTAGATACATAGATATTTCAGAGGTTCTGTAGAAGTCTGGGTTTCTAGTTCACACACTTAAAATAGAGGCTTGAGATTCCAAAATGTAATATCCCATAGTAGCCAGTTAATGTTTATATACGTTGAAAACAAACACACTTGTACATTTAGGTTGGGGTATTTCTGTGATTCACAGAATCATAGAATCATTAAGGTTGGAAAAGACTTCTAAGATCGAGTCCAACCGTCAACCCAACACCACCATGCCCACTAAACCATGTCCCTAAGTGCCTCATCTACACGTCTTTTAAATACTTCCAGGGATGGTGACTCAACCACTTCCCTGGGCAGCCTGTTCCAATGTTTA